AGATTTACAGACATGTTTGAAAAAAGAAAAAAAAGGGGCAGATGGTATACATGCTGAGGAGGACTGGAACAAGAGGTGTCTGTCCTTGCACCACCTAGTACTCATGGTCTAGGATGCAAAATAGAACATAGCAACTTTAAAGACCAAAAAAAGGAGAAAAAGCTCCAGGAGAAGGAAACAAAGGTCCAGCAGAGCATACACAGGAATGTGCTGGGGCAATGAGATCATCCTGGCCAGAGCAGTGACTGAGGATCTGGAGGGTGAGGGCAAGATCTTTGAAATAAGTTCAAAAGGCAACATGTAGGTGAGCCTATTAGGACAGATGGGGATATTTTAGCACTCTTGCTATTAGATGACCACTTCATCCAGGGTTTCTAGGGGAGGAGTACCTGTAGTGACACAGGTTCCCTTCTGGGATCCCAGTTACACTGAGTAACACAAGGAAGATGATCAGAACTGCCGGGTCTGGGAATTCTGGGCCCAGTGATGAGAAGTGATCCAGGACTTTGTATTCAGATCAAGAACATATTAAAAAAACACAAGAAATGGGAATGACCTATACTGCTGATCCTACAGGATTTATTTTCAAAGAAAAATATGTTCAATAAATAGTGAGATAAAGGCAGTTCTGCATCACTGGAGACCCATCTAAGAGATAAGCATGTGTCTGCCTCACCTGAACAAGGCCACTGACTTGGCTAGACTGCATGAAGCTAGAAAACCATCTCAGAAATCCTTCTGCTCTAAAAATGAGGAAGAGGAGGAGACATGCCACCCAACAAGAGGTGGTCCTAAGTGTAGCCTGCCAACCAGGTGAGTGGAAGCAAAGGCACCCAAAGGGCTCAGTGAGACAGCAGGACCAAAACATAGTGGCATGGACAGAGGATGTCCCTCAGGCGCCCCAGAAGGCACCATCTCCATGGAGGGGATGGAAAGTGGCTGATCTGGGTGCTTCACAAAGCCCAAGGGCTCTGACTCACACAGGAAGTGTGGAGTTGAAAAGCTCCCTTTTTGGTGGCCTCAGTGTGCATGCACACATGGGGACAACTGAATGTAGACAGAGTGGGCTCCTCAGCTAGAGGTTGTCCCGCACATGCTCCATGATGGTTCTCAGCCCCAGCCAGGTCTCCTCCACGGTGGGGATGATCTGGTTGGCTGGCAGCAGGAAGCCATAGTGCCCAGTATCTCTCAACTCAAACGTGAAGGCATACTTGATGCCATTATCATATGCCCAATCAGTGCTGCTCCCGCTCGCTGGATCTGTAAGTCAGAAGAGAAAATAGCTTTGAAGCCCGGGTCCTTTCAGGGTTAGATGGGAAGGGGCCAGGAGCAGCGGCTGGCTGCCTGTGGTTCCTCAGGGATCCCGAGTTCTTTCTCAAAGTCATCAGGCCTGCACCACGTAAACCTCAGCCTAATCCATGTGTCTCAGGCTGCACCGTGAGAGTCTTCACTACCAAGCAAGAGATTTAAATCCTCATTTCCACCTGTTACTAACTCACTGTGTGGACTCCTTCAGGTCACTTGAAACCAGTCATCACGGAGTGTGGTAAGCAGCCTCCAAGACAGCCCAGATGATCCTTATCTCCTGGTATTCATGTCCTTGTGTGAACAGATTGTCCTCCTACATTGAATGGGGCTGACCTGACCTGTGTAACTAAGGACTGCAGAAATGAAGGTACATGACCTTTGAGGCCAGGTCGTAAATTCTATGGCTTCCACCTGGCTTGCTCTTGGATCCCTCACGCTGGGGAAAGCCAGTTGTCATGTAGTAAGGACATTCGGGCAGCCCTATAAAGAGGTCTGTGTCATGAAGAATTGAGGTCTCCTGCCAATAATCAGCACTTGCTTGCCAGGTTCATGAGGGAGCCACGCCTCAAGCCCAGTCAAGCCTTTTGATGACTAGAGGCCTAGAAGACCATCTTGACTGCAGCCTCCTGAGAGACTTGGACCCAGAGGCACCAGCTAAGCCACTGTTAAATTCCTGACCCACAGAAACAGTGTAAGAAAATAAATGTTTATTGCTTTAAGCAGCTAAGCTTTAGGGTAACTTATTACATAGCAAGAGATAACTGATACACAAAGAGAAAGAAACGCAGCCCTTGAGATTTCCCTTTGCAGAAAGGCTGGGGAAACGCAAGGCACCTGTTGTCCTGCTGCTTCCCAGTCAAACTCTACTGAAGCAGAAACTGGCTGAAAGTGCAAAGTGTAGATGACATTGAAAATAAAATAATGATGTCGATAGCAGAGATCATTTAACATCCACCATGAGCCAGTCATTATATTGGAAAGTTTACATTTATGATCTCATTTAATCTTTAAAAACCCAACGAGATAGGCATAAAGGCATAATTGTCCTTGTTTTTCATATGAGAAAATGCAGGCCCAGAATGGGTAATTTAAGGAAATACAGATGGAAAATGGCAGGGCTAGAACTTAAACCCAGGTCCATCTGATGTATAAAGCCCATCTTTTCTTCATCCTATTTCCAGTCCATTTAGTGTATTACATGTCTGTTAACTAAAATATGGGCCCTTTGTTTTCCATTGTTCCTGGGGTTGTTTCTCATGACAGATGTGTGATTTTTCTCTTCCGCAGTAACATGCTCCCTGAGGTTCTGGAACAGACGCACCTATACTCTCTGAAATCCTCATCCCATAGCCTCTCTGTACCCTGAGAGAACGCTGAATAAAAAACAGAGGAGGCCTCCAGAAGTTTCTAGAGGTTGTTTATATGGCAACCTCAAGTATTTCAGAACACATTTCAAATTCGGGAAGGAGGCAAGAAGACCTCTGCTGAGCAATCAAGTTCATGAACTTCACTTTAATCAGGACCCGGCTCAAAATCTACCTACTGTTTTCTTTTTTTTTTTTTAACACAAATAGGAACCACTGTAACACTCTACTCCATATTTTGAAGATTATTCCCTATTAGCACATAGAGATCCACATCATTCATTTAAGGGCTGCAAACTCTTTCATGGCATGAATGCATCATGTGTTTTCACCCAGCACACTACTGATGGACACTTAGGTGCTTGCCAGTTTTTTTTGTGATGCTAAACGATGCTGTGTGAGCATCCTTAATACTCAAGCCAAACGAGGGCACAGAACTTGTTCCCAAGCCCTTAGGAGGTCACAATCAGTGAAGAGGAGAGGAGAGGGTTGCTAGAGGCAGGTGGCCTGAAAGCAGTAGAGTCTGAACAGAGGAAGGAGGCATGAAAACTCTAAAAGGCAGACCTTAGAATTCAAGGTGGGAGACAGTCTGGGTCTGGTTAGCACAGAGACTGAACAGTCCAATATGGCGCAGAAGGCCTTCAGGATGTAACAACTGACGTTCATAAGGCCACTCAGTCGTGGGCACAGGAGCCTAAATCTCTTCTAGATGCTCTGTTTAAGAAGGCCAGGAAGTATAAAATCTACTGTGAAATAATTTTAGAGTTAAAGAAAGGTCTAGCACCATATAAGGGGCAACTTTTGTTTGTATGTAGAATTATGTACAAAAAATTATGTAGCCCAGGCCATAACTCGTGGTATTGGACTGTTAACTATACACAAGTTGATTACACTTTTGGAAAGCAAAGAAGGCAGACAAAGCCTATAAAGGATATAGAAGAAAGGCTCTTGAAAGAGGTAGGAAACATTATGGCTTCTGAACAGCACTCAGGAGAGCCACCTGCCTCCTCGGCTGGAGGAATCTAATGAGCATCTCTTCAGTAATTTTGACACAGCTCATGCTGCAAGGCCATTCTTCCAACTGATGTTTGACCCCAAATCCAGGCCCTGGCAATGCACAAAGATCTTGCGAGCGGACCTCCTCAGAGGGCGCAGTCCCTGTAGCTGTCTTTGGTCCTGGCCGCAGTTCTGACTAATCGGGCAGAGGGTGGAGAAACTCTCCCGATGCGTTTGCTCTCTGAGGAGTTCCCATCTAACAACACTAATAAGAAGAAACCACAAATGATTAAATGGACTGGTGCTGCAATTAGCAACCCGAACACCAACATCGTGCTCACTGCTTACGGAGTCCAGTGGCAGATGGGGGAGCAAGAGCGTGAGATCCAAGTACAGAGGGGGACCCAGGAGGTGGGATGGAGAATCGTCCCAGAAGAGGAAGGCTGAGGGCAAGGCAGGCGGGATGGGAGACCAAGTCACAGTCTGGAAGAGCAAAGAAACAGCAGCCAGCTTGCAGAGGCTCTGAGCAGGGACTGACTGTGTAAAACTACTTGTATATAGAGGAGGCACCAGAGGGGACAAGAGGGCACCGGCTTAAAAGGGGTCAGAGCTGTGTTCCCTGTGTTTGTATTTATGCTCCCCATTTATAGCTAGGCTCTTGGAGAATGATCATATTCTTCAACTGGATCTTTACATTTAAAGACCAGACTCACAGAATAAGGATCTCAGCAGGAACAGAGTGAAATGCCAGATGAAACACCTCAGTGAGACACCAGTACAAAGGTACTTCCTCAAAACGAGGTTGAGGTTGTAGGAAATGAGCCTCAAGACCATCTTCAGGTTCGGAGGCTTGGTAGGGTTTGTTTGGGTTGTGTTTTACTTTGTTGGCTTGATGCTCACCACCATCAGGAGGGTGCCTAGCCCAGCTCCCAGCCTGCGTGTTCCTTTCTGACCGGAGGTGAGGGAGTTGCCTCCGCCACCCCCGCTCAGCATGCCGACCCACAGGTGGGTTTTCTTGGAAAACGGAATGAGGGGCTTGAGGAAGTTTTGATGAGTGATGCCAGGATTGTTCACAGAAGGTAAGGAGCACAGATGCCACCACACTGACAAGACCTAACTCGTCAAGGGCACATAACAGCATGAGTGCGCATGTTACTGATGAGCATGACTGCCTGCAACAGCTCTCATGGCACTGGCTCAACATAAACTACCAACAGCAAACACCATCAGACTAGAATGCGGGAAGCCTGACTGGCAGCTCTGCTCCTGCTTCCTTTCAGGTTTCCTCTCAAAGCCTTTTCTAAATGGCCGATAATTACAGCAAGTACTTACAGACAGTGGTGCAGGTAGGACCCACTTGGTACTTAGTGCCCGACAGGGAAGCCAATGCTTTGGCCGCACGCCTGGCCACCTCGTCCTAGGAGGGGGGAACAGGCGGAGTGAGAAAGAATGGATCCTGCAGCCTGACATTCCTCAGCTGCTCTGCACTATGATGGTTTGGAAGATTCTTGGCCCCTCCTCCAATTTTTCCTTCTGGTCTCTTCTTTCCCATCCAACCAGCACCAAGGCGAGACTACAAACAGAGAAGTGGCCTGGTTCCTCTAACTCCCTCTCCTATGCCACCCCTGGTTTTTTGCTTCTAGTTTGGGGAAAAGGGTAAAGAGAGGTGGGAGAAGATCTCCAAGCATTCTGAAAGCATGTGTACTACATCCTCAAGCTAGAGGAGATCTATTCAAGCTCTCCAAAGATGTGGAGCGCTGCTCACCAACGCTTTAGGAATGGCCCCAGTAAAGGTACCACCGTCCTCCCCTATCCTGTGGGAAGGGAACCCCATGTTCACAAACATGCGGGCAGGCCAAGTATGTTCAAGAGGAACTTTCTAACAGTTGGGTGTGTTCCCAGAGTGGAGGTGGAGACAGTGCCACCGTATATGGATGCGCCCCATGCAGAGTGCCTGTTTGAGACCAGAACCTTGCCCACACCTAGCCTTGAGCCCTGTCTGCCAGGAGGTTTATGGGCTAGCTGTGGGCCCAGGCAGAGGGCGCACTCTAGCTGGCCAGCACAGAGAGAGAGGCCTGCAGTCTGCCCGGCTCCTGTTCGTCCACCCTAAGTGCCTGTCCTGGGGTGAGTGACCGTATGACACAAAGCACCCCTAGGCTGTGGCCTACACCCTACTTAAACTTTGCCTTAACCAGAATGAGAAGCACCTCCCTCTAGCCTCTCCTCTAGAACTCGCAAGCAGTGGGTCCGCACTATGTTTTGGTCAGAAAAACAAATGGGAAGCTGAGGCAGGAGTCAGGTGCAGTTCTTGGAACCCGCAGCAAACAAGGAATAAGGGGCACTGCCTCTCTTCTGTCCCCAGGAGGCGTGACAGCACATCCCACAGGGCGGAGCAGACCCAGCACTGGGTGGAGGGTAGCCTGCCACTCACCAGCTCGTCCGCATCTGGGGCCTTGTGGACCGTGTACCCATACGGATACATCAGCAGCTGTGAGTAGCTGTGCAGATCCATGAAGCATTTGAAGTTTCCGTGTTCTTGGATGAAATCTACCACTGATTTCACCTCCACTTCTGAATTGGCGTGGGGTCCGTGGTACACTTCAGAGCAAGGGTTGTCACTGGTTCCCTCTCCTTGGGGGGCAGCCCGAGCAGAAACATTAACCCACAGGCCAAGAGAAGAGAAATTCAGGACACTCAACACAGAGGAGGGCAGACAGTACCAGCAACAGGCAGACCACTGCTAGATGCCCCCTGAGGACCTGGTCCAGTGTATGTATACACTGCAGGGAGGGCACAGAGGTGGGAAGCCAGAGCTGCCAGCTAAGGAGGAAAACTGGTGAGACTCCTTTAAATGGACAGAGTTGACCTTGTATTGTATCACTAACAGTAGGCATAAATAATTAATATCATACTTGACAATGAGTTGTAATTAATAAGTACTTTAGATAATGTGAATACCAATTAATAATGGAAATGAATACATTTATTCTGGTGTCACCTCATTCTCTTGGTTCAGATCATAATGGCTCAGTGCTGCCAAAAATAATCTACTGTGTGGCTAAAATCTGATTATTTGACAGGCATTTCAAAATATTACTTTGTGTTTTACTTCATGGTAAGCTCCCTGAGGTATCTGGTGCGTGCGTGCATGAATTCACCCAGTCGTGGGAATACCTGACTTCACTGTGATTTCCTCAGAACCCCACAGCCACATTAGTGTCCCCCCAAAGGTTTGTGTGGCATTTCTACACAAACAAAAGAAGTACACTAAAAAGAAAGCATCAGGACAGCGGTGGCGTTGTGAATGACAACTCACAGGGTTTGGAATTGCAAGGCGAGTTTAGATCCTAACTTTTAACCATATGCTCCTAAGATTGTCGCTGAGCTTCGATTATGTCATTTCAGATAGTAAAATTCACTCACTAGGTCAGAAAAATAAATAAGATAGTATGTGGCAAAGTACCTGGCACATAGCTGGCACTGTGGTGGGATGATTTTAACTAGCTGGAACTCAGAACCCAGGTCTCCTACTTTGTGCTCTTTTCATGACATCAAAGGGCTGAAGTTCACATTGACACATCTGAGGGTAAACGGCTGGAGGTGAATCCTACCTGTTAGGGTAACAGTGCTAACTGCTCTCTTCGGGAGCCCATCCACCCACCCGGGGCCTCACCCAGGAGGGCCACGGTGGCCAGACTATATGGAAAGGATGCGGATTTGTATATCTAAGACTAGAATGGTTTTTAAAATATTACATTTTCTCAGGAAAGCAGGGATTGCTGAATCATTCTCTTTGAAAATTAACCAAAAATTTTTTTAAAAAGAGAGAGACAAAGAGCATAAGGGATTCACCCATGCATCTCAATGAATCAGCAATAGAGCTGGCCTGGAAACCGACTGCCTACTGCCATCTCAGAGTCCTGTGGACCAGGCTCTCTGCGGGACCAGAGGTAGAAGGATTTGAAAACCATCTCCACAACCCACCTGCAAAACTAGCGTTCCAATTTCTATTTGGATCCGCACCAATGCAGCGGCTCCCAGGATTTAGGGATCTTGTCTTCCTCCATAATCGGTTCTGAAAAATCCACCGAGGAAGGAACAAACATCCAGAGATGGGTCAGGGCACAGGAGAGGCAAAGGGCTTCTTGGGTGGGCCTATGGTGGAGGTGGGCACCACACACGGGGCAAGCTGCTTGTGGTTCTGCCCGGAGGGTCATGGGATGCCAGTCCTCAGTGAGCAATCTCCCCTCACCCCTGAGAGGGAGGAGGCTTAGCCCTTCTGGCTCTGAGAGGGCAACTCCCCCAAAATGCAACGTGGAGAACTTTATAGTGCAAGAACCAGACACTTCCACCTGACCCCACTGAGCAATTTTTGGCTTGGGTAAAAGTAGGATAATTGGACAGTATCCTCCTGAATGACTGCTGGTGCAATAGACAGGAAGTGCACAGCAACTATTTTATTCTTGCCTAAAGAGTTAACCTGAATGCAATATCAAGCCACTAGATCTGACTACCAGTGAGTAGGAAATACAGGGGATAAGGCAACAAATTAAATGGCACACAACAAAGAAGCCATCAACCAAATTCAGAACATCAAACATTCTATGGGACAATTTACTTGGTTTCTCCAAAAAATGAATGACATTTTTAAAATACATGCAGGGGGTGCGAGTGGGGGGGTAACCATAGTAGATTTTAAAGGCCTGCAGAGCGGTAACAACCAAATGCAGGCACAGGTCTTATCTGGATACTAATTGCAACACACTGACTCAAAAGACATTTTAAAGATAATTGGGGGTATTGGATGATATTAAGAACTTCCATTGGTTTTTTAATTTAAAAAATTTTCTGATAGGTGTTTGTTTTAATTATCATCTGCTAGAGATGCATACTAAAGAAGTTTTGGGTGAAATTACCTGCTGTTTGGGATTTGCTTTAAAATATGTCAGGAAGAAATGTATGGAAGGAAGGAAATGAAAAGAAGATTGGTAAAGCTTTGGTAATTGTTCAAGGTCCATGAGAGGGAGTTTATCAGATTATTCTAAGAAAAAACACTCCCTAGTGCTTCTCAGCTCAGAGAATGACTAGAAAACGAGACCCCAAGGAAGCTCGTAGCTTGCATGTTTGTGGAAGTTTTCTCCAAGGGATTGTACAGCTATTTAGGGGCAAAAAAAAGGAATTCAACAAACGCATCGTAACACCAAGCCCAGCCCATTCTGCATTACTCACTTTAGTCTGCGTGTACACATATCCATCAGGATTGGCCACTGGCAGCAGGAAAATGTCCATTTTCTCCAAGATGGAGGTGATGGCTGGGTCCTTCCCATAATCAGACACAATCTAAGCAGAGATGAGCTTGTCAGCTATACCGTGGCAGGCTGGGTTGCTAGGCCTAAGCCCATGTGGCTTCCCCAGATGCCCACCTAACACAGTAAACCCTTGCCAGCCTCCCTGCCACCCTCACTGACACAGCTCTCTGCAAAGCTCTGGGAGTGCTTCAGAACCTGGGGGAACCTGGCTTTGTGAGGACATCAGCTGCACTGAGTTCTGGGCTGCCCAGTGCAGTCATTCCTTCCAGGGATGTGAACAGGGGAGGGGAGAGCCAAATATCCTAACAGTTATTAGGAATATGGCCCCCACACTAAGGGAAGGGAAGACGGATCCTGCACATGCCCCACGCCTCCTGTCACAGTGCTGGCTTACAGCAGGTTTTCCAGAGGGACATGGAGACAGCGTGCAGGCCCTGGGGCCTGGGCAGCTTGGAGGGGCCTGAGGGCGAAGTTCATGAGTTTTGCTGCTGAGAAGACTCTGATCCCTTTCTGCAGAGCTGACTGTGGGTCAGTGTTTCAGGGCCACCTCTGCAGCTCATTAGCTTGCTCACTGCCATGAATGCACTTTGTCATTTAGCCACAGTGGCTCAACACAGGGGCTCTGACCTTTTGCTTCTCTAATCTGAAAAGGCTCCCTGCCTACTGTGTCTGTACAGAGTGCCTTCCCATCTCGTCCCCAGGGCTCAGCTGCAGGGACACCCCAGGCCCACCAGAATTCTTGGCTAATACCAGGCGGCATGACCTTCCTTGCGGTCCAGATGCCTGTGGCATGTGAGATCCACTCCCGGGAATGGATGCCTGCATTGAGCCAAATGGCTGGCCGCCCCGTGCCTTCAGCAGTACTGAACTGTGGAAGGAAAAGAGGTCAGATAACCACCCTCCTGCCTGGGTCTCCACTCACCTCTCCTCTTCCCAGCTTGCCCCTATTCATTTAAGCCATTTAAGGTAATTCAGAGACCAAATATTCCTGAGAGCATCAACTATTTATCGGGCTTATCCGTGACCAGGAAGCTTAATTGGTTGGTGGGTGGGGCCCCACCGCAGCCCTGGGGAGCCTGAGCCACTCCAGGGTTGGAAGCAAATGCAAAGGGGAAACAATTGCTATTGTGAATTATAATGCCAGTATGATTAGAGATAATATTATGTCTCTTGAAAGACCTCAAATGGTATTCCAACAGAGAGAGACACACACACACACACACACACACACACGCAAGAGTGCATTAACCAGCCTGGTCTAGTTGATGCAATAGATGAATTCAATTTTTAAATGAGGAAGAAAAGTTTATTATAGCTCTTTGTTAATAGCATTAAATGAATTCTGGCTCCTGCCTTTTAGTGTGGGGCCCTCTTGGGTCAGAGCTTGGTGCAAATGAAACTAGAGTCTCCATCAGATTGGCAAACAATTGAAATTTATGCTGATTTTTTAGACCAACCAGATTGGTGGCAGTTCTCTCCTCCCTGAATAATTTAACCACTGCTGTAAGCCTGGGTTCTTCAGGACTTAGAGAAAGTTAAGGGTTTGACAAATTCTTAGCACCATCAGTTGTTCCGTGGTTTGTATCTCCAAATTCCTTTTTATTCATTCAACTGGGTTATTTATGTAATTTATGTCACTGCCATAAATTCCCAACCTCCTTTGCCAATGCAGACCTGAATCTGTTAGAAATATCTGGAAACTGGGCTTTGCGCAGCCAAAGATCATAGGCTGGGCTTAAAATTACATCAACCCTAAAATTAGCTTCCCTTATTGCTTTTCCAATAAATACCCCTAAAAGCAGAAAGAACTGGTAGGATTATGCCAATTTGTCTTCCTATTTACAGAAAGTAAGAATGAGAGTCTTCTGGAATGTTGACTGCCTCCCACCTCCCACGCCTGCCTTTCAGTCAAAATCTGTGCTCTAACACCTCTCCCGTGTTAGGCAAACTGAGGGGCTCTGTCAGAGCAAATCAGGACCCAGTAGATGTCTCCCAACTTCACCCTCCTCCCTGAAGTCAAGGAGGTCCTAAAAGCTGCCTCCTTCAGAGGTGTGAGGACTGGGTCCTAGATACAAGGAACCTGGAGGCCAAGTCCAGTAGTCCCGTTGGCCCTTCAAAGAGCACGGAGCCTCTCACCTTCATGACATATATTGACCGGTTCTCAAACGAATGCCCAATCTTCACCCTACTCGCCAAGTCAGGAAACTCTTGGGCAATGCTGTCCATCTCACGGTAAATCTGAAGGGTGAAAAAGTGAACTCAGGGGCATTTAAAAAATTTGTTCAACTCTGTGTAGGTGTCTATGAACTTTATCTTAATGATCTTAATGGTTTCTCCCAGCCCCTTAATCATAGGGTTGAAGGGATTACTGGCATGGAATTCTTGAAGAACTGCCTAAAAGTCCTTTTCAACAGTTTTCTAGAGAATAATACACTTTGTCCACAAGATTATAGTCCACTAGAGAGACTTGTGCAGCTATTGCTCCAACAGTATGGCACCTTGTACCTAACAGACTGGACAATCAGCAATGACCTTGTTTAGCCAACAATACTCCCCAAACTTTTTTGATCATTTCCTCCAACAGTTAAAAAAAGAAACTTAGTATGCACCATATACATGTGTGTGTGTGTGTGTATATATATATATATATACACACACACACATATATACACACACACGTGTGTGTACAGACACAAATATATATATTATAAAACAAAAAAATAGAAATGTTTCTGTTAGTAATAAACATAAATATATGTCAAAATGTAAATGGAAGTTGTAATAATTTCTTGCTCCACATCCCAATGGACCATCTTGCTTATCCCCTGCCACACAGGCACCCCGCTTTGGAGATGATTCCTCTAAAAGCTTTAGAACAAGCATAAATCATGGCTAAATGCTTCCATTTGCTTTCAGTAAGATAAAAAAAGAAAAAAGTTTGATTTAAATAGAGTTCAACCATCGTAGTTGCTTAGACCTTTTGAGGGTCAAAAGAAGGAAATAAAACAAATTTATATTTAGACCTTAAAATTGGAAGAAGGACCTTTACAGAGGAGAAAAATGTACAATCGATATAGAATAAAATCAAGCTTAAATGGTTTATCAGAGTTGCATCAATACGGCAGATTGAGCAGAAGCAAGAAAACACCTCCCAAATATGTAGGCAGGCCAGAAAAAATACAATGAAAATTATTCACAGCCAACTTTAAAAGCCAAAAAAGAGGAAACTGCAAGTGCTAAAGATAGAGAGTGGCCTCCACAGCAGAGCAGAGGAAGAAAGATGAAGCCCAGGACCAGACACCTGCCTTGGGCACAACAGTTTACAGCAAACCAGAGCAGGAGTAGATGGCACAGGACCCAGCGTAGGGCAAGGAGCCGGAAACACAGAGCTGGGAATGGGCAGGTCCAGCCATGGAAAAGGCCTAGAAACACTATCTACTGACCTAAAACGTGGAGCAAAAGCCAGATGCCTGCGCTGAGCCATGAGAAGAAAGACAGTCACACAGGAAAAGTTAAAACACCGTGACAGGGGGTTCAAACTCACACTGCCAACATCAAGGAAAAACTCATCCTCAAGAAACTAACAAAAATGACAGCAACCACACCACCACACGCAAAGGGTCTGGAACTAGAAACCCTGGCAGAGACAAACATGACATTCCCACTAGAGACCTCAGAAGGCTCACTGTTTGTAGCTGTTTCTAGAAAGAACTGAATACAATCAAAGTGGGAGATGGAACACCAGTCCACGAAAGGATTTGCAGGCAACCAGAGGTCGCTGTAAGCCAGGCAACAGTGGCACCTGAAGTCAGCGAACAAAAGTGAGCAGAGGAGAAAGTGAGGCTCCTGCAGCAGGTAGCGGGAGGGATGAAGCTGCTGGGGCCCTTGGTAACATGTGCAACTGGGAAATGCAGCTAGGGAGGACTCCATGTTAAAGAGGCTAACATCATGGGTTTGATCCCTGTGTGGGCCCTGGGCTCTGGTTTCGTCCACAGCCCTGCACTGAGCTCCTAACTGTTCCAGCTGTTCTGCCAATGTATGTCACTGGTCACAAGAGGGGTCACGAGGCAGTACAGTTGGATGTGCACACGATAAACAAAGCTACAGACAATTACGGGAAAAAAATGAATGGAGATGGTGGGTCAACGTTTGAAATAATCCCTCATCTAGAAGAAAAACAACTCAAAGTATGTGCTTCATGAACAGCATGCCAGAAACATCATCTTTGGATATAAAGAACAGCAGGAACTCAGATCTAGGAAGAACACCAGTTTAGACTCGGCATATGTTCATGAGCTAGTAGAGGGCTTCCTGACTAAAGAAGGTGACACGGAGGGACATTCTAAAGCTGTACTGTATGTGATGTGGTTCCATTCCACAGCCCCTCTTGAGTCCTCAAGTTCCAAGTCATATTAAATTATTCTGCTCCAACTTTTTCATTTGAAGGGTTGGCTTACCTTGAAAGTCAGTCATCTATATAAAGTGGTTTCTAACTAAACATAGCACCAAAATGCATTATGGAACAAATATATAAATAGAAACGATAAATGATCGGAAATACTTGGTTAACCTTGGAAATAACCACTTGTCTACTTGCCTGGAATAAGTAACATTTTAATCTGTGAAAAAAATACAGGGATTATGGGGCATAAGAGGAGTGAATTACAAGGATGGGAAATGACTGTAATTACTTCATGGTTTTCCTTAAGGGGTTGCATTAGAAAATAAAGATGTCATGTGGGAGAAAATGTTTGGTTTGTGTTTCACTATGCTCTTAGGTGCTGGTGGGAGATAAACAGCCCCAGAATTAGAAAGGAATTGAAGTGTATGCATTTGATCCCTGGGTAAGGGGCATTGTGCTAAGGATGCATATGTCCTAGAAGTAAGAAAAGGGATTACAAGACCCAGGAGGCTGATGACCTTGATTGTACTCTGCTCTGAAACACTTACAGCTTCCAGGGAATGATAGGCCCCATAGTTGAAGGTATTACTGCTCCGTTCTTGCCCCTCATTGTGTTGCATTTCTTCATCTTCATTATCTAAAAGGGCCTAAAACAAACACCGTGACGCTGTGAAGTGATCCATTGGAGACGGAGGTTACTGCTGTTTCTGCTGTATCTTGGCATGAGGGCTGGCGGAGATGGCGGCACCCTCGGCACACACATCAGGTCGCACAAATGTCAAGGTCTAAAAGGGGGTCCAATTTCTTCCACGTATCCCTAAAATCTTATTTCCTGGCACCCCACACACATCACCCCAGTCCCTGGAAGGAGCATATATGTTGTTGGGCCATTATACACTGAATTCTCTAGACATCAGCCTGCATCTGGTTTCCAGTGACTCTGAGATACACAGCTTGGGAAACCACTCAGAAACAAAGAAATTCTTACAACCACTCATACTTTGAAGGCTCCTGACAGATGTCTATGGCATGTGTGGATGATTAATAAGCTCACAGCTGCTCACGCCATCAGGAAACTCCAGGGCCAAATCACCAGTTGGGCTGTAACCCACCTCAATGAAGGAGAGAACATGAGCCAGACACTGTCCTGCTGTTCAGATATAGGTTATAAGGTTGGTATCTGGCTTGGGTGATGATGTTCCCTCTGCTGGGGGCTGTTGGTGACATTCCCCTTTCTCAAAGGATGCGTTTTATTGCCTGTCTCTAACATCCCCCCACCTTCCCTCCTGACTTCAAATAAGAAAAGAGAAAAAGACTTAATATTTGTGGGGCCCCTATAATGTACTAGGCACTGTTAGACATTTCACTTACATTTAATCACTTAATCTTCTCACTAAGTCATATAAGGTATCACTATTATCATTTTAGCAATGTAGAAGCAGAGGCCTGAGAAGTTAACAGCTGTAACAAAGTCACAGCTAGGAGGTAGCAAAATCAGCATTTAGATGTAAATTTGTCCGGCTCCCTAGCCTATGTTTGATTTGCCATTTCAACTACATGTTTCTCTAACAAGTCATAGCATTTCACTTCCCTGTCAGATGAAGTCAGTGCCTTCATCTGCAAAATGGGGAAGGGTAAGACCAAAACCTGACAGTCTCTCAGGTCACTCTGGCTGCTCTCTCCTACGCAAGGCCAGGGAGGGGTCTTGGCTTACCCACCTGCAGGTCTTCAATTGTCACTGAGAACTCTAAGTGCTGGGACTTCAGGAAGGATTTGACTGGCTGCAGACTGACAGATGGCACCAGGATATCCACAGAGCGACTGAAGGTAGAGTGAGATTTCCAAAAGTTGAGCTGAAGAGAACAAAAACAAAACCAGGTGAGAGGACAGTTCATGTAAAAGGCACAAGGGGCTCAGACTTCCAGAATAACTGCCAAAAGCCAGGTGATCTCTGAGGGGCTAGGTTCTTCCCAAGGGCAGACTTTGCCCATTTCACAACTGTATCTAGTCAGGCTGCCCAGCAGGCAATCTCTGGCAAAGTCCAGAAAGTACTGTCAGCAGCAGCTAGGAGGACAGAGCTCATCTCCCAGGGCCTCTCTGCTGTGATCTACAGGGTTCCTCCCCCATAACCCACTCCATCCTGTGAAGGCATATTGACTAATACAGCCTTATACACAGAAACTCTTCAGGAGTAACAGTTCTGGCAATGCAAGAGTCTTCTCCTACCAAAGTTGAGAGAGAGTAGAGGACTAAGAAGAACCAGGTACCTTAAAGTTGTCTGAATTCACCAGCTGACTTAGTTTGTTGATCTCGTCTCCATTTCTGACGTTAATCCTAAAAACTTGGTCCCTGGGGAAAAAAGAAGCAAGCAAAAGATAACGGTGAGCTTTCAGCTGGCAAATAAACCCAGCCTACTATCCCAGACATAACTGGGCTGAGAGAAAGGAAATGGTCTAGTCTTCAGTTACAATGTAGAGCCATTAAATATAAGACTACGTGGCAAATATGAAGAAGTGCTTATGGTATAACTTTAAGGGAAATGCTAAGTAAAAGAGCAGGACACAAAATTGTATGTATGCCATGATTACAAGTATGGAAAAAGCAGATGCATTGGAAGAAAAACAGACAACGGAAATACAGCAAATGCTGACAGTGCTTATGTTCGGGTCGTGGGATTATGGATGACTGACTTTTTTTCCCCTTGTATCTGTTTTCTGTAATGTGGTCATATTACTTTATAATGAAAAACATATACATTTTGCAGAAAGGAATGTTCCTGAGTTACACGCAAAGCTAATTCAAGACATAAAGAAGCATTTCTTCACTGTCAGTGGCTAAGGCTGAAACTCTGGCCAAAGGTCCATGCTGGAAAAAGCTAGAAAAAAACCCCCAGCTCTTTCACCCTTGGAGGGTTAGCTATTTTGCGCTTAGCAAAGAGAGGAGAGGCTGAGTGTTTTCTCAGTCCCATTCAGCTCCATAACCCTACACAAATGCAAATCACCATAGGCTGGGTGCTGGGACTGGACCTGGGATTCAGTCTTCCCAAGGGGACCCTGGGAGGGCCCAGAAGGGAGCCGGCCAGTCCCGAGCCCCCTTTGTGGTTTGCCCTGCACTTGTTTCCTATACACCATTTAGCTTCTGCGGCAGCAGGCGCAGAGGCCCCCGGAGCCCTGTGTGTGGGTGGAAGAAGGCCCAGCCTGAAAAGCTGCCTTTGTGCTCTCAGCCCGCTCAGGGAGCCAGGGGAACCATTAGGCCGTTGCTAGGTGATGGGCAAATGAATCCGCACTCAACGCTGTCACATGCGTCATCCCTTCGCAAGAGTGAATGCGGGAGGAGCTGCTGGAGAGGGCTGGGGGCTGAAGGACCTGTTGACAGAGAAAACGGTTCTGGCACAGGGAGCTGACTGTGCAGCCTCACGTGGCACATCCACATCTCATCAGAAAACCGGCTCAATCTGGATGGATGCTCAGGGTCTAACTTTGTTCTGGAAGGTTCTGGAGGACCACTGAGGGGGTCTAGTCCAGCCCCTAGAAGGCAATGCTGAGCTGCTTCTGTTGCAGGTGGCAGGTCTGGAGGAAATGTCAATGGTGAAAGCTCACTTTCTCCCAACTCATCCAGTCTCCACAGGGTCCTGGGAGGAGGGCAGCTAACTGCATCCCCCAGGAGCTACTGAGGCCACTGGCTAGGCAGGTCTCAGTCTGAACCCAATAGGCTTGCTAGGAGTTGGACTGCAATCCCGGGAAGGTGGGGAGTCAAACCACCATTTTCTTGACACAGGCAAGAAGCCTTGTGAGAAAGGAACAGGCTTAACACAGAAGGGAAATCCCTACTCCTGGCTGAGTACTGGGGCCCACCTGCTGAACTCATGCTCTGTTACAACTCATCCCCAACACTCCAGAAGAGGAGGTGTCTTAAAAAAATAAGTGTTCTCCAAGAATGGACTAACAGATACCAAAGGGAAAGGGACTGGGGAGGATGGGTGGGAAGGGAGGGAAAAGGTGGGGGAAAAAGAAAGGAGGCACTACGATTAGCATGTATAATGTGGAGGGAGGGGGCATGGGGAGGGCTGTGCAACACAGAGAAGACAAGTAGTGACTCTACAGCATCTTACTACATTGATGGACAGTGACTGTAATGGGGTTTGTGGGGGGAACTTGGGGAAGGGGGGAGTCTAGTGAACATAATGTTCCCCATGTAATTGTAGATTAATGATACCAATATATATATATATATATTTCTTCCAAAAAAAAATGAGTGTTCTATAAAGTGCCTGTGCACTGACATGCCTATTAGCAAAATGAAGCATCCGTAAAATACAGCACAGACTAGAGCAATCTCAAAGAAGGAGGGGAGGAAGAAGAAACAGGAAGAGAAAAAAGGAGGAACATGACAATAAAGAGCTCTCAAGAGTAAGAAAATCATGTCACACATTCACCCAGAGCATGTGTTTTACTTTTCCCCAAAGCGGTAACTTCACAACAGAACTCCCACACTCTCGGGCGCAGTCCGCAGCAATGGGACACAGTGAATCTAGCCGGCCTCGCCGAGGAGGAAGTCCGCAGCCCATTTCATCATGCCCTAATCAGCCCAGCTACAGAGGACAGACACAGAGTGGCGTGCAGAGGCACGGCCGAAGGGCTGGTGCAAAGCCCTCCCCCGTCTGTTCTGCTGCATCAGTCCAGCCTCACTGAAATCCCGAACTCACCATGTACTCTGTCCTTCTATGCCTTTGCACAAGCTGTTCCCCAGCCCTGTCGCTTTTCTGCCTGCCAATCTCCACCCAGGCCTTAGGTCCAACTCCCATCACCCGTGAGGGTTTTCTCTAACTAGAGGAAATGAAGTGAGGGACAGTCTTCAAATGGCACTACACACGGGTGAGGAGCAAGTAACATCATCCTCATAAATCTAAGTCCATCAATGCCTAGAGGCAGAAAGCATGGAAGGGGGTACCAGGTGAAGGGAAGCCTTCTTCTTGTCCTCACTCTCCTTGTTTCTATTTGGAAACTGCTCTCTCCCAGTCCTGAGAATGTGGGTGGCTGAACACCATCTATCTCCACTGTCTGGAAATCCATTCAAAGACCTTAAACTCTTTCTGAAGTAGGAAGATCGGCCTGGGAGGGGGATACGGTGGGTTCCGCAGGTCGGCAGGCTCCCCGCGCACTACCCCACACAGGTGTCCTTACAGCTCTGCTCACTTGAGCCCAACACCCAGGGCTGTCCAGCTGCTGCCAGAGCGGTGGTTGGTGACCCTTTCCCCTGCACCCACCCCTCACCCCGAGTTTGGACAGTCCATAGCCAAGTGATACTGAGCTCCTATCCCTCCCCCTTGAACACTGCAGGCAGCCGAGGGGCCTGTTCTTTGTGCCTTCCTCACCAGCATCCCCAGCCAGGCTACCAGCCACCATGAAAGATAGTTTCAGAACTCTTAAATGCCTGCCAGCTATTCCTGATGCAACAACCAGTTCTACAACTACATCCTGTTCTCTGCCTGCCCTGTACCTCCAGGCATCCTGGCCACTGTCCCATCCTTAAGATGACTGGAGTCCAGGACAGAAGGCACCAGCAGAGAGGGAGACTGGGGAGGTAGTTGAGTCCAGTGGGAGGAACAGAGACTGTGGGAGGGGGAAAGAGACCTTCATCTTCATCTCCATCAGCACTGTGCCCCCTCCAAGCCAACCTGTGACCTGACTCCCCAACCACTTGAATTTTTAGAGGCAGCTTCCCCTTGCTCTAAATGGTCAGTGACCTGAGGATCTGGGATATGTCTATGGACCCCAGGAAGGATTCCACCACCTTTGCTGGGTCCCCAGCAATGGAGTGAGAATGGATTTGGGAGTGAGGATGACACTGTTGTTAAACTATCTGCAGTGGGCTCACACGCATGGCCCTTTCCGTGCAAGCTCCCAGGGTGAGCACTCCAGGATCAGCCCAGCTGTCTCAACCCAGGTGTCCACTGCATTACAAGAGAAGTCTGTATCCTGAGAAATAAGGAGTTTTCACCCGCATGAATAGCTGTGTAAGAGCCTGACAGCTCCATGCATCAGTCCTCAGGCAGCGATCACAGTCATTACACACCTGCTGAGCTGCCTGTGGGAAACCTTCCCCTGGCACCTGCTAGACCAACCCCCTCTGAGCTCTGGCAGCAGAGACCAGGTGTGAACAAAAGTCATCACCATAAAAATTACTCAATCTCATATGACTAATTACCTCAATAAACGACCCTCTGACAGCTCCATGCATCAGTCCTCAGGCAGCGATCACAGTCATTACACACCTGCTGAGCTGCCTGTGGGAAACCTTCCCCTGGCACCTGCTAGACCAACCCCCTCTGAGCTCTGGCAGCAGAGACCAGGTGTGAACAAAAGTCATCACCATAAAAATTACTCAATCTCATATGACTAATTACCTCAATAAACGACCCCACGTGCCTTTAGCCAATAGTGTAACACAGAGTAACAGATATAGATAGATCGGTGACATACAAGATTCCATCTGGAGATTAACTGATGTCAGAGCAAAAGGGTATGGCCTTTGCATTCAGAATTCCAGCTCCCTTGCTTACCAGTAAAGTGGCCTTGGGCAGCATCCTTAATCTTTCTAAGGTTGAGTTTTTTCATGTTTAAATTGAGAAAAATAACACCCCTGCCTGGCAGAGTTGTTGTGTGACCAAAAAGATATGCACATGGAAGCTCTTTGCAAATGACAAAGCATTATACAGTAACAAGTTATTGGAATTCAATCTTCTAGCAGGGTACCATGGCATCCTTTCACCTCTCCTACATCCCAAATGTCCTTTCCTACCTCCCCAGTGACCTCTCCTTTGCACACTGCAAAGCATTCTGGGTGGGTGTGTTGACTGTGGTGGTATGCAGACACATGCACACACATGTGTGCACACATGCACAGAAGTGCACAGGTGTATTCTTTGTGCCAATTGCCACAGCTGTGGCTAGGCAAGACCAACCAAGTCTCCATGTCCTAGATGCTGACAAGAAAAGCCTTCACCATTAACACAGAGGTGAAATCAAAAAGCCTAAAACCCAGATCTTCCCATAAGCATGGCAGAACAATTTCTGGTAATTACTGATAATTCATAATATAGGAGTAAGAAAGTAGGAGACGCCTAGAACAGACCTCATAAATAAGAACCAGGAAGAAAAAGAATTGGCAGATTAGGGCACTGGGGAAGGAAAGTGGAGACCACCTGGCCTGATTTCACAGATAATATTGAGCATGAGGGAAGTAACTTGTCCAGGACGGCCCAGGGGCAGAGCTGGGACAGGATCCCTCCTCTTCTTTCCCAGTGCCATTCTGCTCATCATCAGCCACTTGTTTCCAAATCCATTTGGCTCCCATATCTCTAAACTAACCAAGTAATAGTAAGTCCAAAAGGAACTTACCCAAAAAACTTTTCTCGGCCACAGATGCTGGGCCCAATAAGGACCCCAAGGAACAGTATCCATTTCATGGCCCAAAGGTGTCAGTCAGAGTGGCTGAGTCAAGCTGTATTTATAAGAAGTCCAAGGCAGACTCACATCCTCAAAAATGCTAATGTGATTCCCAAGCACCCTTGCAACTCTGACAGTACCTCAGGTGGCCCGTACCAATGCCTCTTCCATTCCTTTCGAGTGATAAAAGCTAAGCCTCTTGATTTACAAGGTCAGGAATTGCTCGTCAGGCCAGAAAAGTCTGTGCTAAGGGTGCTATATTGCTCATCGCTTGGTATTTAAATAGTGTTTTTTGAGTAAATAGAAAAGTCTCATAGTGCTGGATAGAACTTATACTGATGATAGAGGCCAGGTAACCTAAGATGTTACCTCTAGAGTAAAAATCAAGTGAAGGCTATCAAAGAACCCCCCCAGCCAACTCCAAGACCACACACTCGACAAGCCCTGTCAGAGAATTTCACCAGAACAGGCCATAATATGAGACTGTGTGGCTTCTGTAATGAATATGGAATTAGAAATGTATGAAGTAAATGGGAAAGGAAGAATGTATTAGTCTTAATTATCCCATTTCCTTGGGGTCTGAGCTAAAGGTAAAGTTTAATGGTATTAATAGTAAGACTTTCTAACATTTGCTAGATTCCAAGTCTGGTGTCCTTTCCACTAAGTCACAGCAGAATAAATGGAAGACAATCATGATTGCCACTACTTCTTCAGGGTCTCTGAGGCCTCTCAGTCTGTCCTGGGGGCCCCAAATCCCACAAGCCTCTCCCATCCCACTGTCACCATTGTTTACATTCTTTCTGCTCTTGCTCAAGAGGAGCAGATACAACCATGGGTCATGGCTGAGAGTGTTCAAGAAAAAGTATTTTGACACTTGTTAAAACTGTAAGGGTGATTTTATTCAAGATTACTGCAATAGGGGTCATGCAGTAGGAGAGATTAATTGTGTTAAACACCAAATACACTAAGGACAGCAGAGTGAGTGGTCAGTGATGGAAAATTGCTAAGAGTAGGGGAGATTCTTGCTAACTGCAGGCCTAGGACTTAAAACATCAGTGGTGGGGGATGAGGAACTTAGTCGTAGATATCAAGGATTGGGGGATGACTTAGCAGGATTCTTTGCTAAGACTGACTTAGGCGCTAAGCACAGGGTCCAGTGGAAAAGAGGGCTTAGAGAAGCCTAAGGTTTGGTCAAGGAGAGTCTTTGTCAGGAGTTGTGGAACTAGGGGCCTCTACCAAGCACCTTCTTCAACTTCCAGCACTGAAACTGAACTCTGATGCCCACCCCGATCCATCACAAAGGCTGGGCGCTACTTCACCAAGACAGATTTCAGGTTTGCAATCAGTAGTAACAAAAGAGGCTGAGACCTGAATCTGCAAGAAACATGAACTAAAGAATCAAGTACCCAGAATCCTAGACAATCTGAAATTTACTTCCCACCCTATTCTTCCAGGGAAAACATGAAGAAAATCTAAATCCCTAATGGAAATAAATGTCTTAGAGAGACCATGTGGAATCTGAGACCCAGACTTGATTGGGGCCACCAGCAGGAAGATGTCATTGGTTGGGTCCCCACCAATTTCTATAATGCAACATAGCAGAAATGCAAGAGCAAGAGGCAAGGATGGGACCAGAGGGTGCGGCACCTAGCACAACGCTTGCCAGTGTAGGCGCGTACTTCGTATTTTTTGGATAAATGAACTCCAAAGCCCCCTCCTAGCTCTAAAATGCTCCTCTATTAAGATGAAGGAGCTGGCACATATCACAATATGGATGAACCTTGAAGATATTATGCTAAATAAACTAAGCTAGTCACAAAAGGACAAATACTATATTTGTGGAAAATAGTGGAATAGAGGTTACTGGGGGCCAGAGGGAGGGAGAACAAGGAGTCATTGCTGAATGGGGACAGAATTTCTGTTTGGGATAATGAACGATTTCTGGAGGTGCATGGTGGTGGTGATTGTGAAAGTTCTTAAAGCCACTGAATTGCACACTTTTAAAAAATGGTTAACATGGTTTATTTTATGATATGTATATTTTACCACAATTTTTTTTAAATGTTAATGGATGTTCGGAGCATTTTGCCCAGAATGGATTTTTTTAAGGGGTACAGCTCAGTGATTTGTTATGTTTTAGGACAACATAAATAGAAGAAATAATGCTCCTAGGTCAGAACTAGAAAAAGGAATAATCACAACCCAACTGTGCTTCAAATTAAAGACCTTTTAATGGAGTTTTCACCACCCGAGCCCTAATAGGGGTGGTCTTGCACATGCTCCATGATTGTCTTCAAGCCAAGCCAGGTCTCTTTGGCTGTGGGCAAGATCTGACTGGCTGGCAGGAGGAAGCCGTATCGACCTGTGTCTCTCAGTTCAAAGGCAAAGGAGTATTTGATGCCAGAGTCATAGGCCCAGTCGATGCTTCCACCACTGGCTTGGTCTGAGGGGCAAATGAGAATAAAGTTTGGCTATGCTATTCCCATTGGCCTCTCACAGCTCTACAACCTCTATATCAAGATCCACCATTATCACGGACAAGTCAGGCCCCTAACTGCACGGCCCTTGAAAGCGGAGATAGCTTAGTAGGGGGGATGTGCTTATGACAAGACACAAGATTAATTTGGAAAGCAAAAAGTGTTATTCAAATGGGCACTATGCTTGGCCTTCCTTTAGTGTTCTTAGGAGCTCTGGCTTCACCCACCCATTTGGAATCTTGCCTGCTCCCCCAACTGGCATTTTCTACACCTTAGGGAAGCCACCCCACTTCCTTCTTTAGATGAGTGCTGTGTGCATTGTTTTCCATAGTGGAAAAGGAGGGATTACAAACACAGTAAGAGACTTGGTCCCTGCCCTTATGGGACTTTCAGCACAAGGGTAGAACACGCTTTGCTCTGATATCAAATAACATGCCCAGCACCTGTACGTAATGGGTTAAACCGATAGAATAATGTGCACCTGTGTAACATGTGGCCGCTGACGTGACAGATGATGAAAGAAAGTGGCACTAGCTTACAAAGATTTATGGCAAATCATGACTCAGATGAGCTGACTGAGCAATGGACTGGCTCTGTGGCCCTTCCCATGAAAGGCAGGTAAAGGTCAAAAGGAGGTGATGGCTGGGGCAGAGATGCAGGAAGTGCCTAGTCCCTAAGAATGCAGCTGGGTGAAGGGGAAGACCAGGAAGGTTGTACCAGGGAGGAGCAGGATTAGTGGTTAATGTTGCGAATTAACACTATGAACTGTGATTTCTGTCTTTGCCTTCACCTACAGCAGCTATGGTAGCACCTGGGAAATGACAACTATCAAATGGCGGCTGACTCGAACTGAATCTTACTGGGTACCAAAATTACTAACTTATACCTTTGGTGAGGCTATATGACACAGCCAGTCCCACTAGAAGTCCACAAGTGACCAAATATTGGCTTCAGATTGAATGATACCACAAATCAGTAGCTAGGTGATGAAAAGCAGGTCACTTTTCTCTGAATCCTAAATGCTGCATGTATCAAATAAGGATACTACTACTGTATATAGTACTTATTTCACTGGGAAGTGAGAATTAAATGAGATAATATAATGTTTATGTTCCAACACTTGTTGAGCGCTTACTAAATGTAGGCTTGATGTTAAACTGGCTCACTTAATCCCCACCTGGGTCATGAGGTAGATAGTAGTATTTCCACTTTACAGATGAGAAAACTTAGGAGTTGGGATAATATATGTTAAGGAGGCATTCAATAAATGTCCACTGTGTTTATAACTATCATTATCAACCAATGTCTAGGATCCTACCAAAAATGCTGGACCATATTAAGGAACAGAGGTTATCTGGAGAAGTGATTCACCAGGAAACTAATAAGCAACATTTATATAGCACCTTAGAGTTAGTGGGCACTTTTATTCTACATCTTTTCTTTGGAGCCTCTCAGCAACTCATTTCATGATGGAAAAAACAGGGGAGAATGAGTGACCTGCCCAAGGTTACTTGGTTCCAAAGTCACAGAACCAGACCTCAAACCCAGGCCTCTGGCCACAGGGTCTGGGCTTTTCCTCTCTGAGAAGGACCTCAAGTAACAGCTTCTCCTGGACCACACGCCTAGTGCAGTGCAGCTGCTCACGGCCCTCCAGATGAGAAACTGCCCAGGAAATGTCTCACCCACCACAGAAGTCCAGTCACCTCCTGGGTGGAGAGAAGCAGGTGTTCAGCCCAGAGCAGCATTCCACTCTGGAGCAGGAGGCAAAAATACTTCATTGGGATTTGTTCTTAGAGGCAGTGCTTGTCCAAGCCAGGATGAGGCCAGGATCCAGGATAAGAGTGTCAGCCCTGGCAGAGATGTGGCCGGAACTGGCTTGACCATTAAAGGTCAGGATAAGACAGCAAACCCTATTCTTGTCTGATATTTGCTTATTAGAAATATCTTCAATAGCTGTCACCTTGCCAAGAAAAACACACTAAATCTCAGCTTTCCAAGATCTACCTTACATGTAAATATCTTGGATAAGGAGGGTGAAAAGCTAGATTCCCTGTAATAAAATGGCTAAGACCCCATGTGGGCTTTCAAAATATGTAACAAGAGATCCAAAGCTATTCATTCCATGTGACTCAATAATCTTGCCTTGGGAATAAACAAAAAGGTCATCTAAAATAAAAAAGAATTTGTACCAACATGTTCATTGTAGCACAATTTAGCAAAAAGTTGAAACAATTCAAAGGCCCAGTATCTGGGATATAGCAATATAACAGAATAACATGTATGTAGAATGGAAATACATAAAGCTGTACAGGAAATGATGTTCACTGAAAAAATTTGGACACAAAGCAGCACACATTGATTACAATTGGGTATAGTCATGTTCACTGACAAAATCATTAATGAAATCGAAACTGATAATAAAATGTTAATGGATTCTTTTTTCTATGAGGCTTTTAATATGCATCATAATAGCAAATAAAAGAAAAAAAGAAAAACCATAGTCCAGAAAAAAAGAAACTTCTGGGATCTGAAATGTTACCAGACCAGAAGTGTTCGAATTTCCATTAAGCGTTCCGGATATGGCGAGTAAACGACTACCCTTCTGCTCTCCGAGACTCCCTCTGGGAAAGCCGGACTGGCAAGCATTTCCTCAGATCCACCACTGCAGACGTGCCTACGGCAGCGCCCCAGCAAGTCTCCGGACTTGCTCCCCCTGTTCCAACCTCACCTGCCCACCACGGCTATTTCCCCTCTTGTCCCTCTTCCCCCTGCTCTGGAACGGGACCGCCTAGGTCATCTCTCTCCTGTTATCTTCCACCTCTCCCTCCCTTGCCTGTCCCCCCAGGCAAGAAGTAAGTCTCTCATCTCCTAACAAGCTCCTCCAGTCCCATTCCCCTGCCTTTCCGACCAGACTCTTCCCCACTGGGGGATCCGCTCACCTGCCTCCATCCCCCCCCAGTCCACCACCTCCCTGGCCACCCTCACCACTCTTCCAGCACTGCTCTGGTGAAGGTCACCAATAAGCCAGTGATGAAAATTCGATGGCAAATATTCTGCCCCTGTTATATCTGACCTTTTCGTGGCCTTTTCATCACTTGCTCCTTCCCTGGTTTCTCAAAGCAAGGTTCTCGGCCCCTCTGCCCAGCCCTGATGCCGTGTCCCTCCCTCACCATGAACCCCTGCAGCAGCCTAACAGCCTGCTCCCCAGCTCTGCCCAGGGCTCTTCCCCCTTTTAACTACCTCTTTGCTCTCCTGTTCCAGCCATCCTTTCTATGTCAACTACTACTAAGCCTCTCTCCCTGAAGAATCCCAGGGCCTGGAGCCCAAAGCCTACAGGACATCTCCACATGAGAACACTACAGTTATCTCAGCCTCAGTGTGTCCAGAGCTGGAGTCGTTATGCTTCCAATGTGACCCTCTCCCACCTCCCTGGATGTCTCTCTCGGTCGCATACTTCCATGCTGTCACACTTGCTGTGAGTGAGCCAGAATGTTTCATTCCTTTTCCCTTCTTTAGCTATCTGGGATCAGCCTTCAAAATCCTGCCCTCTTCCTATATGAAGCTTTTCCTACTCTGCCACTGTCAAATCCTCCAACTTTCTAATACTCGTGTACCATGTATAGCCTTCTATTGCACATACATGGAGGTTCATTTGTCTTCCTGTCCATCTCCCATATTAAACAGTGAGTTCTCTGTTGGTTCATTTTATGTTTCCAGTACTTGGCAAAATGATTAGCACAAAGTAGATGCTTTAAAAAAAGTGTGTTGAACAGAGTGGGTGTCATTTGTTTCCAAAGGACCCAGGGGCATGGGAACACTAGGGAACTCCTGGGCAGTCAACTGTGGGGTCCTGGTCTCTGGCTTTAGAAGTTGGGGGGGTTCCTTCAGGAGACTCAAAGTCTGCATGGGTACACTGGGATTTCCCACAGCACTGAATCATTTCTTGTTTTTATTCTGAGCCACTGTAGAAGAGGGGAGTCTCAGAAAGTCTGACAACAGGCTCCCCAACTCTACTCCTGACACTGCCATTATGGCTGCATGGACAAATGGCTGCAATAGAGTCTATCCACTAAATACCTGGGTCCTCTTAAAGAGTCACATCCATTCTGTCCCCATGCATAGTCCATGGGGTTATTCCAGGTTTGAGCCCCTCTTGGCCAAGAAAGGGGTAATTAATAAAAGTGGTAACTTAGAACCAAGTCTTGATAAGGGTCCATTTTCAGGCAAAGAGATTCCATATGATGAATGTCAGCTATGAGGATTGGGCCAAGCAGAGTGGAGAGCACACAATTCATTAGAAGTTCTTGGTTCATCAAATAGCATCTCATGGAGGAGACCGAGGCTTACCAAGGGAAACTGGATAAGGCCAGGTTCTGTGCATGAAGGCCTATCCATTTCACATGAGGGCATTTAAAGGCTCTGGTCCAAAATCACAGGGTGCCTGTTTAGTGGGTCATTCATTAAAAAAAAAAACATTAGATACTTACAGATAACTGAGCAAATAGGTCCCACTTTGTACTTGGTGCCATGCAGACCTGTCAGAGACTGGGCAGCCTTTTGGGCCACTGCATTCTAGAGTGAGAAAACCAAGGAAAGGTAGATGGGTGACACTCATCTCTTGGAGGAACAGATGCCCAATATCAGTATGCAAAACAGGACAGTCTAACAAACTGGACTGTGGTTAGTTGAGATTTAAGCACAATGCCCTTTTTGTTTCAATCGTTTTCACAGTAAGTCAAGTTCACTTTCGTTGACTTTGAAAATAGAACATGAAGACCCTCATTGTTTATTTGATCATCCAGGTGTTTGCATTAGATACACCAGGGCCTTTATTCTGCCACCAGCTGTCCTTGTTCAGGGGTGTGGACAGAAATAGGGTGGGAGTAAGGGGCTAAAGCAAAGGTGTATTGACCCCAGGATGTACCCGAGAAGTTGGTTTTCACAAAACTAGATTCCTACATGGGCTTATTTCCCTATGATCGTCTCTTTTTCCAAGAAGTTGAGCTCAGCAAAATATTTTCCATTTTTTGAGAGATCCAATTTTGACTGATTTGAGGCTTTACTGTCCTTCCTAGGGATAAATGTAAAGTCTTAAACTTGGGTCCAAGAAAACAACTACACAATTACCAGATGGGGGAAAGCTGGCTCAGCAGAATCCTCAGAGAGCCTGGGGGTTTCAGTTGTCAATGAGCCCAACGTGAGTCAACGGCACCATGCTACTGCCAGAAAACGAATGTGACCCTCAACTGCATAAACAGAAGTGCACAGGCTGGATGAGGGCAGTTACAGTCACACTTTGCTCTGAGCTGGTTAACCCATGACACAAATTCTACATTTACTTCTGGAAGCTACCCTTGAAGAACACAGACAAACCAAAGCATGTTTGGAAAATAACCACCAAAACAGGGGAAGAACTTGAGACCATACTGTGAGTGCTTAAAGGAAACTGTGGGTATTTAGTAGGGAAAAGGAAAAACCTAGGAGAAGCAGGTCACTGATCTTCAAGTAGTAACAGATTTGCTTCTCAAAGGGAAATAAACCTGCTCTATGGAACAGAAGGATAAGCCAGTGCTTTTAGATGATGAAGAACTCAAACAATTAAATCTGTCCTGATATGGCGCAGGCTCCCTTGGAAGCAGGATGTCCAATCACAAGCTAGATGACTACCTGGCAGAGATTTGAGCACCAGGTTGGATAATTTAAGATTATCTAGGTCTACTAAAAGGACCTTTTAGGGTCTTTGTAACCCTGCCCTCTTGTTCTCCTGATTTGACCTTGAGTGGTAAAACTGACCATTCAAAACCCTGAAAACTGTCTTACAGGGCTAAAAGCCAACTATGAGATGAAAGGTACACCTGAACTGGAATAATCTACCCCCTTTCTTCCAGGAGCTGCTGACAATGATTTGAAAGTAAAGCAGCCAGAAGGTCCTATCTCAGGGCTTACCACTAACATATGGGTTTCTAAAGCCAAGCTCAACAGCCAAATTGGAAATATTTGCACATTCCCTTCAGATGGCAGTAGCCCGTGCTCAACTGCAAGCAGCCCCCAAGATGGCACCATCTGACTTATGGCAGCCACCAGTTTGCTCAGTCCTGAGACAGGAAAGATGATGGGAAGTAGCAAGTTTAGGAAGTATTTCATGCCCAGCATCATATGCCAGTGCAATGTGATGGCAGGTCACAGAGCTGAAGGTGCCATGAAGGTATTAGGCAGAAATCTGAGAGGAAGCAGCACCACCACTTAGCATAAAGCATCTGACTACAGATCCAAGAGCCTGGGCTCCAAATCTGAGTGGCTATTTCCTAAGCAACAGAAAGCACCTCCTGGGAATTTATGGTCAAATCAATTGCTCATCTAGATGAAGGCAACAAAAATTTCACGATTTCTATTTCCTGAGGAAACTTAACTTAGGAAAGTCCGTAACAAGTCTTCCAGACCTGTGCCTGTGTCACAGTACTCTCAGCGGTTGGATATATTATGGCTCACTTATCTTTGTAACCTGTCACTAGTACACTCCTGTCTCAGCACCTAACTTATGACTGACACTTAACTTGTCCACACAACAGATGTTTGTGTCTTAGCTGAAACAAAGTTTCAGAAACTCACCAGCTCATCAAAATTGTCTGATTTGGCACATGTATACCCATAGGGGAACATCAGCAGCTGGGAATAGCTGTGGAGGGTAATGAAGGCCTTGATTTTCCCGTGACTCTGGATGAAGTCCACTACGGATTTCACTTCCACTTCAGAGTTGGCATGGGGTCCATGGTATGACTCAGAGCAAGGGCTGTTGCTGGCTCCAGGTCCTGATGGGATATAGAAGCAGCCCAGGGAGAGCAGTGAGCTTTAGGGACACACTGTAAGGGGAACATCACTATGCACACTAAGTCCCTCTTCTGGAAGTCACAGCAAGACTATCACTGTATTAGATTGAGTTGTTACCTAAGCACATCGTCAGGAGGCCTAACTGAAACAATTCTGGATGAATCTCTCTTCTTTCCAAATGTGGTTCTTCTACATGGCAGAAAGAGCTACCAAACTAAGTCATCTTTTCTCCATGGAGTTATTGGAAGAAAAGCTAAATTTAGTATCATAGGTAGAATTTCTGCATTGGGTGGGAGTTAAGCAAGTACATTTTCTGGCATTTCTTCCAATGTTTAGAATCCAAGAGTGGAAGATTCTATACATCTGTACTTCTAAGCCACAAACTACAAGGAACCTCTGACACCCTTTCTGCCGGGAGGAAATCACAACAAAGCCACTTTCAGCTTTGATTCTCAGCAACTGGGGTTACTCAGGACCACTGAAGTGGGGCACTGCGGCCTGGCCAGGGCTCTGAACACTAGACAAACTCTGAGGTGACAGATAGAGGCTGTCTCTAAATGATATGCACAAAGTATAAAACAACCTGCCACCTGATTTTAAGATTATTTAATAAGAACAATTACATTTCAGGAAAAAATCTGACTTTGAGTTGCTGGGCATTATTTAATATTTTGAATCTGATGCTTTGATATTCTTTTTCAACACTGAAAAAAACTATTGCAAGAGTGATGGATGAAGTTGCCATTCATCCATATCCTGTCACAATTCCCTAGTGTGTCCTTTCTTGGTTCAATAACTCATTATTTCATTTGTCTTACAAATATTTAGTGATTACCTTCTATGTTCCAGACAACTGTGCTCAGTATTAGGAAAACTACAGTGAGAAAAACAGTTTCTAAACTTACATTGTCATACCCAGTGAGGAAAAACCAAATTTCAATTCTGTAATTAGAGGAACAAGGGTTTTTAACTGGTGCCTGAAAGCATAAAGGAGCCCCCCAATGAGCCTGCCACTGAGCCCCCAAACTAAGAGCTACAAGTCAACAAAGCCAGTGCAGCAAGCTAATATTTTCTTTTTAAAAGTATTTTGAAAATCAATTTCTTAATCTTGTACTTCTTTTTAGATTTCTTTCTCGAAGCATCCATAGATGATGTAATGCTTCTCCTCTGAATAGATCCTAACCCCCTCTAGTGGTTGGTTCAGGGCTTCCTGAGGCCTCCTGCCACTGCGCAGTCTTACCCTGGAAGCTCAGAAGGCGAGCTAGGCTACAGTTTGTGGGAAAACCAAAATGTGAGACAAAATATATTAAATGCTGCTCAGAGCTCTGTGACAGCACTGTGCTTGTGAAGGGAATTTAGTAAGAGTTTTTCAAATAGATTTTTAAATGGCTTCAATCCTGAATGGGCTTAGCAGACGGACAGCATAGCAGAGCTATGCAAAATAACTAGTTGACCAGACAACGACTGACCATCCTTGAGGACGTGTCCCTCCCTGTGCTCACCTCCAAAACCTGCATCCCAGTTCCGGTTAGGATCAACACCAACACAGAGACTTCCAGAGACCTTAGACCGGGTCTTCCGCCACATACGATTCTTCAAAATTCCACCGAAAAAGATAATGGGGAAAAAAAAAAAAAAGAAAGAAAGACAATCATTCAAGCTTGATGAGACAGTCCCTTTAGAATTGTGTTAATTTCCCTTGCTCCCTCCAGGAAGGTCCCTTTAGAACTGCACTAATTTCCCTTGCCCAAAAACAAGTCCAATAGTCCTTGGACAGGGTTCTGGTTGGAGCTTCTCTGCCATCTCACAGAGGCAAAAGGTAAACAGACCATCCCCCCTCTCCTCGAATACCTGCCAAACCATATTCCATAGAGCTGACCATTCCATTAAGTGTTAACAACAAAAAACAAAAACAAAAAAGTGGGGAGAGAGCGTGGGTTCTATATTTTGGGAAGATATAGTGCTAAACTGGCTGATTTAACTTCAGAACTTCTAAGGGCTTTTTAAACCTTTAATATTTTTTTATGAAGCTCCAAGAGAGGGATACAGTGGGTGGTATGTCCCAAACTTGACCGTGGGATCCTTTATTCATAGGGTATCTCATGAGATGAATACTAGTATTTGTATGAGTTGCTTTTGAACACACATTGAAAAACGCTATCGTATTCCGCTCTCTCCAAAAATGAACCTGAAACTTTGATTCATTTTGAATATACGTGGGGTCATAGTTGCCACAATGGTTTTTTATAATGAGATTTTAAAGGAAAAAATAAACTACAAAATTCCTTTCAGTGATATTACAGAGGATTTTTCCTACAGATTGTAAGTAAAATGCAGATGCATTGTACTGCCTACCTAAATCCTACTGCAATCTAATTGTCAGCAAGTAACATCTGCCTCCTCTTTTCTATCAATCCTACACAAAAAAGCAGAGATAATTGGAACAAATCTCCTAGGTGACTCACGGTGAACACTGAGTTCTAACAGCCCAGCCTAACAACTGAAATGCGCTCTGACCGAGCAATATGTAAAGAAATCGTGTGTTGGAATAAGAAATGATTATAAACTCCGCTATATGCCTCAATTGATGGCACTACTGAGAGATTAGGCATTCCATTTAAGGTAAATCAATGGCAGAAAAATTACTTTTATTTTCTTTTTGAAGTTCCTACACATCTCCCCAGATTTTTGTTGAAGGATGGAAAAATCCAGGCTTACTTGGGTTTGAGAAAACACATATCCATCGGGATTTGTGACAGGCAGCAGGAAGATATCCATGGTGTCCAAAATGGAAGTGATGGATGGATCATTTCCATAATCAGAGGCAATCTGAGCAGAAACAATGACATGTATGTAAACCTCATACTCACCTTTCATCAGGGACCACAGACTAGAATATTAAGGCAATGTATTTTTTCCAAACATGAAATATCAGTGCTGGTCAGTGAGTCTCCCAGGACTACAGCCTAATCTCCTGCAGTGTTAGTGTGCTTAATATCTCACTGCCCATACATTTATTTCCAGTCAGAATAATTAACTTGTATTAAATAAAAATCAGGTATCACTTCTCTCAAGAGCAGAATTCCTCCTGTTAATCCTGGTGAGGCATCTTGCAATGGGTTTATGTGATTTACAGGGACGTATGAAGCAAAGACATTTTTTCCCTTTTCCTTAATCACCACACAGGCTAGCTTTCCAAAAGTACTTAGGACCAACATCAGATTACTTAAGTATGCTGAAACTTTTCTAAAGATACAGAGAACTGGTTAAATTCCATTTGGGGAATTAAATTTCTCCTTGTGATCATTTGCAGTAGCGTTGAAGTTTCTGCTGGATTAAAATTTATTCATTTCCTGTGCTCAGCCATCCTAAGGCATTATTATTCAACTGTTAAATATCCATTTCATAATACCCTAAAGGTAACTGCATTTTAATTGAAGGGAAAAATGTACCAGTCAGTATGCACAGGGTTGCACATGCTTGAATGATCTGATGTGGAATGATTTCCTTTGCTCCTGAATTAACATTCTGATTTATAGCATGTCATTTTAGAATTACTTAAGAAATACCAGACCAGGTCATATCCAGCCTGGTGTCCTAACTCTAATTCCAGTGAACATGTGGGAGAGAGGTATTCCTACATTCTGACTTCAAAATCACATATGAAAAATTCTCAGAATCACCCCAAAACCCTTGACTAATTTCACTTTGGATCTGTAGGTCAAAGTATACTCTTCTATCACTTGTTTGTATTTTCCATCTAAGCTCCTTTCATGATTATACAGATTTCTAGCACATCATGTCTCAGCCCTCAGAGCTCCAGGCAGCAGGGCAATTTTTCTCTCGTCTGTTCTTATGCTGAAATCTGACTCCTGGGGTCCTTACTTGCCACCATCTCAATCTCTTCTGGCTCACTGTGTCATTTAACAGAGCACACAGTGGCCAGGGGCAGGCCTGGAGGGAGAGCTAGCGTGCTGGGGGAACATAACCAAAAAAGGTTGAATGGGTCTGCTTGGGATGAAAGCATCAGTTGTCAGGACCAAAGGGACAGTTATGGGTTAAGTGGGGCCTGACCCCAGAAAGACAAAATAATGGAGGGATTTTAGGCAAAATGACCTTATTTGCTGTCCACAGTGCAGTAGCTTGTGTAACCCACTCACGAGCATGAATCCCAGCGTCCAGCCAGATGGCCGGCTTGTCTCCACCAGTGCTGAACTGCAAAACAAGCGTGGAAATGTGAACAGCACCACTGCTGCAGGACCCTCGTGCCTCCTTTTTTCTGGGGCCTAGTCTATCCCTTTCTGTATTTGACATGATTGATAGGAGAAGGAGGGAGACAATGCTGTGGATTAACCCTTCTCATTTAATGTGATTTTTTTTGGCCCTTTCTTTAATATAAGTTTAAATGCAGGCTAACAGAGAAGCATACATAGACTTTTTCTCTGATGTTTGTAAAAAATCATTAGACAATGCAATGACATGAAAACTGTTCATCTTATGTTGTGAATTTTAAAAACAGTTTACAAAATAGTATGATGCATTTTAAATTTTTTTAAAGGCTGGTGTGTGTGTGTGTGATTGTGTGTGTAGCCATGAGAAAAAGGCAGAGAGGGAAGAATAGAGCAAAGAAGAAAAGAGATAAATAACAAATTGTTTAGTAGCTATTATTCCAGTTGTAGAATCAAGAATATGGGGGTATTTTTCTCTTTCTGTTGTTGTTGTTATTCTACTTTACAATTTTTGCAGCGCTTAGGTTATTTCTGTAGTTAATACTTGTGATAACCTTTTGAGTTCTTCATTAAGAACAGGACGATAGGCTCTAGAGGTGCTTTTCAGGGTTTAAATTTTATGATCCAAGTGACTCAGTTTTATTTGGAACAGTGGCTTTGCCAATTGGATCAGTAAATGGGAAGGAAAAGATAATTTTTGCACCATCAACTTCTATCTCTGTGTCGCATTCTAAACATAGCAGATAAGGTAAATGAGAAATGCAAATCCTTGCTAAAAATTACATTTCATGGGTTTTAAGATTAGTCGAAAGCGTTTCGTGCCTTTTCCTCCAAAGGGCTCAAATGTAAAAACTGGGGAACTTTCTGAAACACCTGACATTCTCCACAACCACTTTGGAGAAGGGAAGGCCGGGAAAATCCAACGGGGAGAACTGCAGTTTCCTGCCCCAGTTGTAGGAGAAACAGGAAAGAAGGAGTAAAAAGGAAGGAAGGTAGTAAATATTAGCAAATGTACCACGGTGGCATGAAGGAGGCAAACAACACCCCCTCAGGCTTCTTTGAGAAAAACGTTCTGCAGAAATCCATCTGTCCCAAAGAGTCGGTTGGTTCTCAGCCATACATTTCCAAATTTAGCTGGGAGTTGTGGCATTCTTTTTTTTTTCTCTCTCTCTCTGTCTTAACAAACTCTTTCTAGGAAATCCGGAGAAGTAACTTTCACTCTTTTGGGGGACAAGGTGAAAAGCTTGAAATTATCAGCACCAAAACTGTTAGAGGTGACAGGTTGGAATAAAACCCTAACATTTCTCACTTAGCACCTAAACACTGCCTTCGTTTTTGGGCATGTAATGCCTTTGCGCCCAAGTTCCCCGTGATCCTTAGGCGCGCTGCGCGAATTCTTGCTTTTCAAAGGCGATTCAGGCAAGGGCTTGGTGCGCTTTGTTTTTTGTCATTGTTTTTTCAATCTCTTGGTTAAAAAATAAAAAGTAAAGAGGAGGAGGGAAAAAGCACAGAACTCCTACCTTGACTAATTACAGAATGCGTCCCCAGTCCCCTCTGCTTCCCCGGGGCCCACACGCTCCCCCAGCTCCCCGACACCCTCCACCCCTCCCTTCCGACTGGAGTTCGCCTCCGGCTCCGCGAGAATCCGCCGAGATGAGAACATTAATCCACCCCTGCAGACCTGCGTCAGCTCGCGCAGGGAGAGCGAACAGGCTGGGGGGTAGGGGGCGGAGTGGGGAGGGGGTGCCGCAAACCCGCGGGGACCGGCTGGACGGCGGGGAGGAGGCGTGCGGGAACCGCTGGCCGGCAGAGCCCGGATCGACGGCCCGCGGGGGGGCGGGGGCGCGGTCTGGAAGCGCCGGCAGGGAAAGCCGCCGCGCGCCTGTGTACCTTGAGCACGTCCATGGGCCGGTTTTCGAAAGAATAGCCAATATTCACTTTGCTCACTAGCCCAGGGTGTTGAGCAACGAGGTTATCCATTTCTTGGGCGATCTGAAATGTTTAAGATAAATGAAAAGACATCCGTGACGACTTTCCTCTGTCCTCCGGTCCCCTCCCAGCCGGCAAGGGCGAGGGCAGCGCGGCAGGGGCTGTGGGCTTGGGGAGCCCGACCCCCAGCCAGGGGAGGCCGGGGCACTGGGCGCCTGCAGGGGCCGCAAGGGGGACGCCATTTTGCGGCCGCGGAGTCGGCTCCTTGCAGTTTGGGACTTAAACAAAATGGCCCTTCTCTGGCTTGTGCCGGGCTTTCCCCAGCCCAGCTCTGAGGTGGAACGTCCCCGCTGCTTCTCGCTAGCGGAGGAACACAAGTGATGGCAGTTTAAGAGGCAGGCAGTCCAGACGCAGCGCGGCGAGTTCGGCCGGCACCTGGGGGCCTGCGTGCCGCGGAGGCTCTTCCCTCACTGGCTCCTGTTTGCGAGGCTGATTGAAATTCTGTGCAGCCGGGGCCTCCAAGCTGCGTGCAATGCTGGGACTGAGACACGTCTAGGCGCGTCTGGAGAGTGAACGGCGAGAAAACGGCTCCTCCAGCCGTTGCCAGCATTTGCTCTCCGTTGGCCCACAGACACCAATTTGTCAGGCCAGGCACAGGAGAGAGCGTGCATCCTGTTTTCTTCACTTCACTCCTTTTTCTCCCATAGTCTCAGTACTGGTCCACACTCCCTTACCGGAAACCTCAGGGACCATCCATACTTCAAATGATTTTTTTTTTTTTTTGTATTTTAGAAAGGCAGCAGGAAGCATATATTGTATTACACATAGCATTGCTCCATATCAATCACATGAATATTTCTGGCGCTGACGCAAATGACTAGCAAGGCAGTTCAGGTCAGATTTTGCCCCCAAATGAGTTTAGGTCAAGTCAGCACGTTTTGCCACCAAATAAATAAGGGGGGAAATTTGTTTTAGAATTGTTGACTTGGGAATTAGCGCTGGCCAGCTACTTCCTCTCAGGCACTTTCCTACTTCCCCCTCTCTCCTTAACACCCCCAACTCCAAATCAGTTAGTGCAAATAGACCCCTGTGGACCCGCAAAAAGGTTCTGTGTCACCAAAGGCTGCACTTGCCCGTGGCAGCATGTGACCTGGGTGGAGGAAGGGAGCTTTCTTCACATCAACAAAACTCAGGAAAGACAGCAGAGACTGCCCAAGACTTTGCTACCGTGAGGTCTGGGAGCCCAGGTCAGCCTGGGAGATTCCACACTTGGCTGCAAGTTAGAGGTGTCAAGGTGTCCCCTGATTCTGTTATCAATGGGAGCCAAAATGCACAGCCCACAAATGGCTTCGTAGGCAGGACAGGTCAGAAGTCAGTAAGAGGGCGGTGAGGGGAGAGCATGAGCGGGAGAGGCTGGCTGTGTGCTTAGGTAAGACTCCCAGGCACTTCCAAATAACAGGATGGCTGCTGGGAAGGCAGGTGGTCTTTCGGGTCCTGCCTTAAGGCAGTGACACTGATACTGGCTGTGAATCCTAGGGAAATTGGGAGACATTGGGAAATAATATGAAAATGATTTACATTAAATCACCAAGTGGAAATATAGGCCTTGTCATTAGAGAGAATTGCCCATTTCTCTGCTATTCATTTGAAAACCTACCTCTTGCAAGGTGTGATAAGCCTCAAAGTTGAAGTTGCCATTCCGTTCTCTTCTCTGATTAAATAACATTTCTTCCTTCTCTTTGTCCAACAGAACCTAAGATAAGCCAATCATGCTATGATTAGTTGATAGCAATGCATTTGGATCTACAATTGTAAGGAAATGGTGACACTGAGGTCCCCAATCCAAAGCATCTTCCTGTCCTGTAGGCTTTGGGGTCATGCCTTTCCCATATGCCGGCAGCACCCTGAAAGGGGACAGGGCATTAAATACAGGACTTGCAGCCAGCCAGATGCTGCATATCCAGAATGACAGTCGATCCTATAGTTGTCTTATGGCTCATCCTACCTTTCTGGGAACCCAGAGCTTGAGGTAGCCTCCCAATAAAAACTAAACGAATAACATCTTACATTTACCTACTTTGACTAACACCCTTTTATATTTCATGCCAGAGACTCTCTTTTGCCCTTTCTACTTGCTCCAGATGCACAAGGGAGAGGGGCAGTGCCTCCTACACACTCTGCAGGGGGCGCCCAGACTGCAGGAAGGCCCCAGGGGCACCCACAGGTCCCTTCCCTGGCATAGGGCACCAAGGACAAAAGAGGACAGACTTTCAGACCATGTGGCATGTGGGCTAATTACCTGAACATCTTCAATCATGATGGAATAAGCAATTCCCAGGGACTCCAAGAAAACTTTGACTGCCTGAACATTGACAAAGGGAACTCGGACATGGACTGTTTCCCCTGGGATGGTGTATGATTTCCAGAAATCAAGCTGAAAGGGATAAAAAGCCAAGGCAATAAGTAAGTCATTCAGGGAAATGAACAGCCCAGCATGGACAGATTTAAGAAATCAATTCATATCTATTTTACCTCCAGCCCACAACCATTGTGGAATCACTATGACTGCAAAAAGGGCTTTTAAATATCCAGGCATGGGCATATGTGTTGTAGTGTTTGTCCCTCCTACAGTTAGATATTAAAATTAGCAGAAGGCACCGATATTTTTAAATGATAGTTTTTTTTAACAGTTGACATTCAAGTGTTCCAATTCATTTCATAACTATTAATAATGTAAATTATTTTAGAAGGGTAATAATGCATTAAAAGTGTTCAACATTTTTCCAAGTAACTTTCACATTCTCTCTCTCTTTTCATTCTCACAAGCCTGAGGGACAGAAGAATGACATATTTATCCTTATTTTATTAAGTTGGAAAATGAAACACAGGGAAGGCAGGTGACTTGCCTAACGTCACATAGTTGGGACCTGAGCTCAGGTGTTTTGCATCCCGGCTCCATGAGTTAGCATTCCATGCTATGTCAGAGAAGACAAGATAGAGTCCAGAGTAGGCCATCTCAGTCATTGTATCTAACTGTGGAGTAGCCACTGTGGGAAACGGAAACCCCCTCAAGGACAAATACCTGAAGATGTTCTTCAGCCTCCAAGTCCACCAGATTTTGTATTTGTTCTTCATTCCTTGGTATGATCTCAAGAACTTGGTCTCTAAATAATAATAAGCACAGAAATGACCTCAAAAGCAAAACCTGGACAGTTTCCTCTTGTTTTCCACTCCTGTTAGCCTCTGCATGTAAGGGGTTAATGCAGCCATCAAGAAACTAATAAGTAGTACACTGACCCATATCCCCAGAATGAGGAGTTGATAGAATGGCTTCACTTCCCCCAAGGAAATGTTATCTAAATGATAATTAAGAGGTGTACCTGCTCCTAGCAGGAAGCTTGCCATTAAAGTTACCTCTCCTCTAGCTAATGATTATTTTTCAGATTACACCTGCTGCTCATAAAACATTAGCTTTTAAAACTTGTCTGTTCCTGTTTTTCAGAAATAAGTTTTAAAAAGGGGTAGAATAATTACTTCAGTGCTTGGAAAAGGAATCAAATTCACGTATAGGCAGACCTACAGGGTTTTCTGTTGTTATTAACTGAAATGAATCAGAGTTCTATCTCCAAACCCCGTTCATGTGGCCCAAAGTTAGGATATGGCTAGGGACAATTGGGACCCAGAAAAATCATGATAATGCTTCCCTCTCTACACACACACACACACACACACACAATGAGGAATTAGGGATGTCAAGGTCACTTTAGCAAGAAAGGGAAGTTGCAAAACAAGCAAACTCATATATTTAGAAAAAAGTTAGATACTGGAGCTAGATTCTTACAGGCCTTCCTTGGTAACAGGTTTCTCCTCCATCTCTTTCTCCAACTAGGCTCATTTCCCAAGTCACTGCCCTGCTCATTTGTGCAGTGGGGAAGGGATTGGTACAAAGATCCATATACAGGGACCAGAACCCAGGTCTTCTGAACCAAGAGCCATGCAATTTCCAGTGAACTCTAGTGAATATGTAAGTGATAGACTGTGAGATCTTCAAGGCTCTCCTGCCTCCAGGTAGCTACTTGCCACAGATGGTCTGAAAAGTCTTCCAGTTGAGTCTCATTCCTTTTCGCTAATGCACAGACGCCAGGAGCCTTCCTTTAAAATGGGAAGGCACTGGGGAAAGTAATACAGGAGGCTAATATTTCTTGGTGTGTGTTCGAAGGAATAGTAACCCTTTGAGTTGCTCAGCATAATAATAGGTAAATAAGGACGGGGAAGAGTTTGATGAGCCAAAAAATTGGATAGATGCAGCAATCCAGATACCCTCTCCTAGTGTTACAATGCACACCCATTCAGTAAAAGTACCTAGAAATCCTACAATTTGTTTAATCCTCTGACTCCCAAATTTAGTTGACCCACTTTTGGGGGGCCAAATCTGTTTGAGTACTTCGTTAATTTCCTGGAACATTCAAGAAATGCTGCCTACATCTTTCACAAAATCTTGGAAGCAAAGTCCTTTGGAGCAAAGAAGAACCCTACAAAGGCACGAGAGATGGATTTGGGCTGAAATCTACAGCCTGGTCCCCCCACTTCATGAGATTCCACTGCCTGCGCACTACACCTAAATAAGGGGAGGACGAGGGCTGCTGTGGAGGAGGAAGCCCAGAAAGGGAGGGAGGAGGAGGTGGGACAGTAACGCATCACAGACTGAATGGCCCAGAGACAGATGACCAGGCAGCTTTATTTTCTCTGATGTCTGTCACCCCTACATTGTGATCATCAGAGATCAGAGGGGGAAATGAGCAAGGACAGAGAGAGACGTGTTTAGCTTTCACTTTTGTTTTTTCTCTTAAATGCCATTCATCTCTATTTCTGATCACTCATTCCTATCATTCCCACTAACCCCTCTCCAAATCCAAGAAACTTCTCTGAAAATGCTGAACATTTGCATCCATTATTTGGCAACAATCCAGCAAGAAACTCCATGAATCAGGTAAGAAAATTCAAACAGGCACCAGAAAGCATAACTTACCCAATAAATGTTTCTCGACAGTAGATAGGCCCAAAAAGGGCACCAAAAAACAGGATCAACTTCATGGTTAATGGTCTTTCCAGAGTCCAGAATTCACTGTCACTCCTGAACTTAATTTATAGGGCCCACAGCTGAGGCTGATATGTTGGCAGTGTAAGAACTCAAGTGAATTCCCACATGGTAAAATTCCCACCTGCATGTCAAATTCTCAAGGTTGTCATCACCCACCTGTGTGATATCACCAATCCATACATTTTCCATTCCTTCAATGAGATAACAAACTTTGATGGAAAGAAAAAACGGCTAGAGCGTACCAAGGGCACATCATGTATTTAGGACTTAGGACATAAAAGTGTCACTAACTCTGACCACACAGAAGTCAGATTAATAGACCTAGAGGTTAAAGTCCTTTCTGGGTCTCCGACCAAAAAAAAGGGGGGTGGGGCACAGCATTTATAGTAATTACTCAGACATCCTGTCTATCACATTCCATTAGTTTGCTCATTTGTTTATTTTTATAATGTTTATCCTGAAACACTGCAATCACTCAGTCCACATCTGCTGAATCTCCCTGAAGACGTGGCTCCCTCCAGTTCTCACTCCATATTAAAACAAAACAGAAGGCCTTTTAATATTCAATTTTGGACTGTTTCTAAAGTGATCTGTCTGCATTTGAACCAAATTGATCTTCCTGTTTCTGTGCTTTTTCCCAAAATGAAAATGTCTTTCTGATTATGACATTGAAATTGCTTGTTATAGAAAGTTTGGATAAAAAGGAAGTGTTTTATTTAATCACCAATAATTCCTCCACCCAAATAAAACCAGTTGGTATATATCTTCCCAAATTTCTTTCTACATTTTAGAACTTTTCTTTGAGATTAGACCATATCGTACATGTTGATTTTTAAACAAAGGTTTTTTTAAACAAAGGTGTTCTTTGTCTATAAACATAGATCTGTATTCATCTGACTTTATTCTTCACTGCAAGAGAGGAAGCTACACCTACCCTATTTTTAGGAATCATACTTCAGTGCATTTTAGTCATTCACACACATATTCAGCCTAGCAAGAGTGAGCCACAGACATCTGTCTTCTGAGTGTCCAATTCTTCATCTGCACGCATTTTAAGTCCCTGGGTTACAAATCTCAAGTACCTAATTGAAGGCAAAAAGGTGTATATATGGTGTTTCTGAATTTAAAAACTCCTGAATTAACTTGGTTTTTCATTCTTTTGGGTGTTGGGGAGAAGACAGAAACCAAGAGACCAAGGCCATAATTTATGTTCCTAGCACCCTAGCAAGTAAACAGTGGTCAGGTGAATTCAAACAGCATACTTGGGAGTATCATTAAACGCTTCTTTAAAAGTCTTGGGGCAGGTAGGACTTGCTGAGGAGAGCCTGGAGTACTGACGGCAGGGAAACATGAGAAAGGTAGAGAGCTGGGAAAACTCATGGCCCATGGCTGAGTTAGGGAGGAAACTTCCCCACTCAGGCAGACTTGCCCCTGGGGGTTGGGGGAAGAGGTAAAATATGAGAAGGGCTCGGTAGGGTGGGCCTTGAAGTCCAAGCAAAGGAGTTTATACCTGCTGAGAGCGGGAAGTGGAGAGCTTCCGGAGGTTCTGAGCTGGGAAGTGACTTATGATGGGGGCATTGAGAATGGTTGCAGGTAGGAGATACTTTAAGCAAGGAGCCAAGAAAAGAACTTTCTGGAGAAATCCAGATTTGAAATGATGTATGTGGACTAGGTGGTGGCAGCAGGCACACAGGAGCTGGGCAAAGGTATTTCAGTGGAAGACATGTGAATCCAGGGGGAGTGAGTGGTGCCTGACTGGATGCAGAGTGAGAAGCTGGGGGGGGAAAGGGCACTTTTCAGTGCATGCTAAAGGAGGGGCAGAAAGCTTTCTGGTGGCAGCCGCCTAGCATTTCCTTACCCAAATATCACAATGCATGAAGTTCGCCTGCAAGAATTTGTCCTGTCTCCCTTCCAATATGCTCTCTAGAAGGAATTTTTACTGAGAAGTACTACCCAGTGAATCGAAGTCACTCTTAAGCATTAGGGACATGACAGCTTTCTTCTCTGCCTGAAAAGGAGTGTGGGATGAGCGTAGGGCTGCAGTGGGGATCCAAGAGAAGCATGGACCTCTCGCTGTGGAGCCCAGGGAGGTCCAAAGGAGAGGAAGGACTCAGTGATGATGCCCAAGGTGAGGAAAATGAACACTCCCTGGAGTGGATGAAAATAGTTGCTTAAAAAAATAAATAGAAGTTGTAGGAGGAGAATGCACAAATCTTAGCAGGAAGCTGTAGGGAAGACTCCAGAAAGCACTGTTGTTTCTCTCTGTTACGGAGAGTATAAACAGATCCTTATCAGAAGAGAGCACCATCCTTCCCACCCCTTCATCATTCTAGAAGCTGGATAGAATCTGGTTGTTTTTTTTAGATAGTTCGTTGAGACATACATGACATAACAATAAACTGCATATATTTAAAACTTGCCATTTGATAAGTTTTGACATATGTATACGCCCATAAAGCCATCACCACAATCCACAACATGAACATATCCATCAACCACAGGAAATCTTTCCCAAGAATCACTGAGAAAATCTCCAGCCGGAAGGAGTATCACTGAAGCCCCTTGCTTTGCAGATAAGGAAATGAGGCCCCAAAAGAGGATACCTGTCTTCCACAGAACCCCAGAGCTGATCAGGGGTACAGGAGGTACTAGGAGCTCCAGCCTCAGCTCCCAGGTCACTGCTCTGACACTCTGGACTGCCCAGTAATCCACGGAAGTTCCTCTCAGCTCTAGGAAAAGACAGTTTGAGAGCACATACTTCTTTGTCAACCCATCAGTGCTGAAGCTGTAATTCAGAAAGAGAAAGATGATAGCTCTCTTTAGAAGAGTTCTCTAATGGCATGTTATTTCCTATTAAGGATGATGTTAGGCACGCTTCTCACGCTTGCCCGTTAGCCCCAGAAAGTGAGGAGCCTACTAGTAGGGACAGCGAGACACTAAATGGAACCAGAGGAGACACCACAACAAATTAAATCCCTCAGTAGTTACCAGACTCCAAGGCGTGCCAAAATCAAAGCTCTGAATGCCTTTGCATGCAGAAACATTATTGTTCATAGTGAAAAG